CTGGAACAACCGCTTAGAGAAGTGAGTCAAACACAGCCTAATTGGCTGGACTTAATCTCTTCGATGACACGCACCGCTCCGCTCTCCAAAGGCCTCGACCGCTGTCCTCAATAGTCTGAGGAGAACGGACCAGCTCTTTTTGATCCCTGAAAGCTGCAAAAGGGCAGGCCAGAAAACTGTAATCTAGGACCAAGGCAGGCAGTGATAGTGATCCGGACCGGGATTTGCTGGCAACACACTGGCTTCAAATGTGTTGGAAGAAACTGAAGACATGTTGTCTTCAAATTTTGTCAAACGAAATGTGTAAATCAGATTTGGGACATTAAAGTATTCATAATTCATGAAACATTTTATTTTGGTCTAAAAAACTTCGAACACTTTAAGTTAGTTCAGTCAGAATAATAATCCAATCATCTCCGAGGGCTGAAGGAGTAAAGAGAGAAGCCCTTCAAAAACACAACTGTATCAACTGTTATTTACCAACTCTACTTCTTAACAACAACAGGAGAAATAATCTATACTGTGACCGACATCACTTTCATTCCTAACCTGTTAATCCTGTGGACCATACGCTGTAAGTTCACCACAGATTGTTGATTAAGCAAACAACTACTTTTTGTTTTCAAAATGTTGGAAGAAAACAGGTTTGGTTTTATCATATGGAGGATCAAATTCAATTCAAATTCAAATTCAAAGATACTTTATTAATCCCAGAGGGAAATTAGAGTTTCAGTACACACAATTCTGAGATCAGACATACATACATAGGCAAAGACACATGACAAGAACTGGTGACTGTGGTCATTCGCAACCAGAGTTGCGCTACCTTAATAGTGATCAGAGGGGTTTAGATGAGGATTGGTTCAGGTGGAGGGGGGGGGGGGGGGGCACTTCAGAGTTACCCTCCACAGGGAGGGCAGCTTTGCTATGCAACAAACACCTCAGACAGAAATGCAACAGACTTCAGACATAACACAACATAAGTGTCCACTAGGTGGGGTGGTAGGGTTTGGGACTCTCCACACGTCAGTGACTGCAGCCATGATAAGCAGCGCTTGTCACCTCAGTCTGGACAGGGGAGGAGGTCGTTGGGGTTTAGAGGGCACAGTGACTCCTGGAACGATTCAGCGGCCTTCACAGCTCGCAGTCCCGCCCAGGCTGGGATAGGGAGACAGAGTTACCATGATGACGGCAGCATTCTACATTTCTTCTGAGGGGGGGGGGGGGGGGGGGGGGGGTATTCGATTCAGCCTCACAGGCTCAAGAGCACCAGATTCAGATTAGGAATTGTTTTGGGGCCACACAGAGATAATTTCCTCTCTGTCTTAAAGTTCCGCTGGTCCTCAACCTCTCAAAATCCTCTAATGGCGTAATTAATCTATCCCAATCCGTGCTGATCCATCCACTCACTCCTTGATGGCATCCATGTTTTGTGCCAACGCATGAATCTCAGCCAAAGTTCCAAGCTTACGACTCATCTCAACAATTAGATGAGTCTGTGCATTCACAGCGCGGTGTAATCCATCCCTGAGCTCGGGGAGAGCACCAATATTCCTCGATAGCTCGTTAATTTTCCGGTAAGCCAGGTAACCTCCCAGGCCAAAGAGCAGGAAACCTGACACCAACACCTGGAATATCCATACGTCTTCAGAATCCTCTACAGACAGCTGAGATAGGCAAATCAGGTTCCTCTGTTTCCAGGAGTCCATGATGTGCCCAACTGGATCTGTCCCAGAGGGGCACCCGGGAGCCCCTTTGCCTGTTTTCATCGTTGAGAAAATTTTGTCAATCATCTAGCTGCTTCACTAAACAGTTAGCCATTTTGTTTAGAAACTTGTCAAAATTTGCCAGGTTTGTGTAAAAGTTTTTTTTTCTGTTATCTTTCAGGAATATAGCCCAAAAAACCCTGGGACCCCCCCCCCCCCCCAATAAATAAAAAAATAAATAGAACAAACCAGGCCACAAATAAATGTACAGTATATAAGAACTTTAAAGTGAAATAATCCCAACATAGTCTAATATCTCAGTCATGTTGGAAGAAAGGTTACATTGTAACAGATTTACTTCTTAGTAAAGGAGGAGGAGACCTTAAGGGAGACCCAGGACACGCTGGAGGGACTATGTCTCTTGGCTGGCCAGGGAATGCTTTGGGATTCCCCTGGGAAGCTGGCCCAAGTTAGCCTGGCAAGCCAGACTAAATAAATGTATTCCCATGCTTTCGTTCTTTTTTAAACACAGAAACAGTTTTGTTTACCTGTTTGTAGCTACGGTTTTGCCGACAGCTGCCGGCTTCTTCAGGCTGACGCTGATGGTGGCGCGTCACTTCCTTCTCCGTTTATCTGCGGGCAGCAGAGGACGTGGTCGCCCTCTACTGCCCGCTCTCCCCTCTCCGACGATGCAGTCCCATGCGTGGTCCAGCGTGTAAACTCCGTCGTCCCTGTTCATGGTCCCACATCCACGTCTCCTTATCTCTATTGCTTCCTTGATCCATCTTTTGTATTTTTGTTGTTCGGTGGTTATGATCCGTGTGTTGTCCCAGTCCATTATATGGTTTTCTCTTAAGCAATGATCTGTTACGGCTGACTTTTTTATTGTACTTTCTGCTTCTTCTTTTGCTGCTCTTGTGTGTTTACGATTTGCCTCTTTCTCACACTCCTTTCTGTGTTCTATTGTCCGTGTATTGAGTTGGCGTCCGGTTTCTCCTATGTATGTTTTATTGCATATTTTGCATGGGATTTCGTAGATGACTCCACATTTTTGTCCAGCTGATATTTTGTCTTACCCGACATGGGCAATAAACAAAGGAAAACAACAAACAAAAACAGAAAGCAAAGAACAACCCAAAAAAAGAACCAGAAACCCAGAAAGACAAGAACCAAAACCAGTGATAACCCTACCATACGTCAGAGGCATAACGGAAAAAATAAGAGCAACAATGAAAAAACACAACATAAACACACCAACAAAGCCATACACAACAGTTAGAAACAGATTAGTACACCCAAAAGACAAAATATCAGCTGGACAAAAATGTGGAGTCATCTACGAAATCCCATGCAAAATATGCAATAAAACATACATAGGAGAAACCGGACGCCAACTCAATACACGGACAATAGAACACAGAAAGGAGTGCAAGAAAGAGGCAAATCGTAAACACACAAGAGAAGCAAAAGAAGAAGCAGAAAGTACAATAAAAAAGTCAGCCGTAACAGATCATTGCTTAAGAGAAAACCATATAATGGACTGGGACAGCACACGGATCATAACCACCGAACAACAAAAATACAAAAGATGGATCAAGGAAGCAATAGAGATAAGGAGACGTGGATGTGGGACCATGAACAGGGACGACGGAGTTTACACGCTGGACCACGCATGGGACTGCATCGTCGGAGAGGGGAGAGCGGGCAGTAGAGGGCGACAACGTCCTCTGCTGCCCGCAGATAAACGGAGAAGGAAGTGACGCGCCACCATCAGCGTCAGCCTGAAGAAGCCGGCAGCTGTCGGCGAAACCGTAGCTACAAACAGGTAAACAAAACTGTTTCTGTGTTTAAAAAAGAACGAAAGCATGGATTTACAAAGACACAGCAAGAACACACCTAAGATGTTCAAAAATAAATGTATTATTTAGTCTGGCCACGCTCCATTGACGGCTCTCGGTTGTGGGGCGGGTTCTACCATTGTCTTTCAAATGATCTCTGCATTCCACTGGACAATGTGTGTGACATACTCTTGTTTCACTCTGTTGCATCATCCCACCCACCAGGCATATAGAGTGCCCTGATTGGCCCACAAAGTGGATAAAGCTCTGTGATTTGTTCACTAAGCAGATAGAGCACTATGATTGGCCCACCATTATGGACCAATCACAGCTCTTTATGTGTTTGAAACCCCTCTAGAGAGCTGTGATTGGCTAGCCAGAGGCCTGGTAGGAGCTGTGGAGGTTCCAATGGAGCATGCCTAGACCATTCTTTGCAAAGCAAGAATTTGGTCTAGTTCACTAGGCTAGGCCCAAGTGGCTGGGGAGAGGGAAGTCTGGGCCTGCTGCCCCTGTGACCCAAACCCGGATAGGCAGAAGAAAATAGGTGGCTGGATGGATCTCCACTAACCATTTAAATATAAAACAAAGTAAAGTTTGCATCAGATTAGTGCTGGCAATTAGAAACTAAAACAACCGTATAAATATTGCAGTAGAAAAATGTCCACTAAATGATCTTATTACAGTGTGAATGAAAAAATATCCATTAGACATCATCAAATTGTCTCAAAATAAAGAATCATGTAAAAAAGAATTTTCTTTCAGAGACAAAGCGACCACCATGTGTACAAACCAACTCAGTAAAACATCTGCTACAGTATTTATAATTGGCATAATATAACAGGAGATTAGACATGTCACTATGGAAACAACTTCAACTTGCATCAGTTGCTACACTCTAATAGTAACCATGGAAACGTCTGTCTCCAGAAGCATCAGTAACCACAATGATATGAACAAGTCAGTGGTGGGGCTGTGAACAAGTAAAAGTTGAATAAAAGTTTGTTGTTATTTGTAAAAAATTAAAGTTCAAGCACATTACAGGAGTATGGACCAAGTCGTGGTTACAGTACATCACAAGCTAGGAGTCATTGTTGTGATTTTAGGATAAGTAAGCAAATGAGTTCGACAAGCATCTCTTGTCTTGCTTACACAAAGGAAAAGGGAGCAGAAATCAATGGACTGTGTTTACAGGGTACACAGCTGACTGTAACGCTGCACGTTATGTTACACACAGCCAAGCAGTAAAAACAGATGAGCTGCTTGGCAAGACTCGGTCTGGCCGGCCTCGTGCTAAAAGCAAGCAGACACAGCACCGGCTCACAGTTCAAGAGCAGCAGCTCCGGGCAACACGCGCCAGTCTGAGCCAAAGTGGGACAAACATCGAGAAGCAAATAGTGAAGGAGAAATGTCTGATGCGTTTTTGTCTTTGGAAAATCAAAACAAGAAATATACTCACGTAAGAAGTATTCAGATGGGTCTGCTTCATAATCCATTTCCTCTGGAAAGTGGTCTATCTGTTTACACATCCCTTTGAAGTTTCCTGGAGGAAAAACAGAGCGAGAGTTTAAGAGAAGTCATTAAATAGGACCTAAAGGGGAAATAATCTCCTCTAATCTGAGCAAGGTTTCATTATTTTGCACAAATGATTTCAAATGTTTGTTTTCATGAGTGAGATGAATGCTTTTCTCTTGTATTTCTTCTTTTGCCTGGATGTACTTGTCTCTTTTGAGGGGAATTTATTCTACACTCAAGACATCTTCTTTCATGCAGGTGAACTGATTTAGACTGATAAAGAAAAACCTGTCAGACCAATCAAAACCAGCTTTGTACCTTTTAGTGAGACATAAAACACACCGCAGTTCATTGAATGGCCAGCACAGAGCGTTCTAATCAGACGTTCTGTGTTCTGGAAGATGACTTGCAGCAGTTGGCGGCTTGTAAACAGGAGAGGAGCAGCTGGTGCGACCTGGAGCTGGTCCAGCTGCTGTGCAAAGGGAGTCTCATCTTTTAACGCTCGTTCATTTACCTGACACCTCTCTGTCCAGAAACCATCCTGAAAGCAGCATCCATCTCCCCCCTCCCCCTCGTCTCCTCTGTCTACTCTCCTTTGTGAGGAGTTTTTACACTGATTGGGTCACTCGGGGTGGCTCCAAACAGGGAGGTGTCCATAAGGCGCCCATTATGGTGACGTCAGATACGGGACAGTTTGATTGGAACACATTCATTTTTCATTAACTTTTTTAAAATCTACTTTCTCTCCAGCGTCCTTCTAATTAGGAGAAAAGGCGTGGGCGGCTGTGGCACCAGGTGTCGCAGTGGAGGTTTGGCAGAGCAGTGGGGGGCCTTTATTACTTTCTCTGTAAAAGATCAACATGCAGTGTGAAGGTAAACAACTCAAAGGAACCCCTGGAATAAACAGACCTCTTAAGGCGTAGTGGGTCTGCCGTTTGAGTGACAGAACCTCAGTGATGCTGATGCTGGCTTTTACATTAGGAAACGTAAACAGATTAGACTTTTGTTTCAGCTTTAATCTTCAAGGATGCAGCAGAGGACTGAGTTCTCTAAGTGTTTTTACACTAAAGACTGCTTGTTGTGGAACTAGCAGAATGCCACATCAGAGTAGAGCTTCAGATGACAGGATTTTGAGTCTTTTTTTTCTATATTTGGACATCTTGCCTCTGATTGGCTAACAGCAATACAACTCTACCACTAACTCTGCTAATGCTAACAGTTAGCTTCTACTAACTGAGACCACAGACACTGACGCCCGTGGACTGGCGCTGCCTAATGGAGCTGCTGAAGTGGTTGGCCACCATCTTGGATGAGTCTCCATTTGCCCCCAGTGCATTTATTTCTGCTGAGGAAGGTGTTTTACCCAACTAAAAAACACATTTTATTCTGCTTCTGCACAAAATCAGACATATGGTTTGGCATGATAGTTAAAATATAAATATAATGAATGAAGTTACATTTAAATAAATTAAAATGTAAAAGCCCAACAGGTAGGCAAGAAAAGTCAATAGTAATCCCACATGATCTAGTTTCAGTAGATCACGTGAAGCTGTACACCGCACAAAAAATGAGCATAGTTGCTCAATCTGCATTGGCTCCAGTTGGGTTTGGAGAGTGATGTACCCATCCAATATGGCGGCAATGCTATTACACTCTTCAGTGCCCAATGGGGCATCTACGTATTCATGTCTATGGCTGAGATGTTCTATGCTGTTCCCTGGACGCCAAACAAACAACAGACTTCCCCGTCATGAGTCAAGATGGGTGAGTCCATGAATGTTAATGTTACTGGTGGCCCCAGGGCCGCTGTGGCTACATCATAACTCATTCGCACCAGTGTGTGAATGTGTATGTGAATGGATGAATAATGACTGATTGTGTTGTGAAGCGCCTTAGGGGGTTGTAGAACTCTAAGAAGGCATTATACAAATACAGGCCATTTTTAAGTGACAGTGTGACATAGATCTGTCAGGCTTTTCTGAACCAAGCACTTTTCTGTATGTTTTCTATCAGAAGCTGATGTAGGAGATAGGTGTAGGAGACTATTTTCTTGATCGGTCTGCATAAAAATCTCAGAGTGACCGATCATTTAAAAAATAGTAGGTAAAAATGGTTTCTCAGTGAACCTGCTCTTTAAAATAAAATGTTGAGATGGAAACAATTAAGTTGAGAAAATTTGAATATCTAGTTTACCGTTTAACAAAGGGTTAGGGACAAAAACATTTCCAATCTGAATGAACAAATGAATGAATGAATGAATGAATGATCTATTTTATTCAGTCATCATCATCAAAAGTAATTCATGTAGGCAGAAACATATCATACATATACATGTATTCCCTTACCTCCACAAACATATACATTCATATACTTGTCTATAGTATTTCTGTGGTGCCTATACATTCAACATACAATCACATGAACTTTTGAACATTTCATGACTGAACAGGTTCAGGCAGAAGCAAAAGCTTATAATATTGGCAAACCTACTTAATCAATTGTTCAATTCCCTCAATGTGACGACAACAGCAAACAAAAATTATAAACACAAACACATCCACCAACGTCAAATTAATACTCCTCAAAATATTATTACTGAGAAGTATTTTAAAAACATAAAGTGTAGTTGCTAATTTAAATTCAAATTTAGCCTCATTCCAGAATTTTACACCCATTATAGAGATCCATCTCCTTTTAATACCTTTCTTAGCTGTCTGTACAATAAACACACAGACACCTCTTAAATCATATTTACTCTACCTCTTTGCAAAAGCATTTGTACTTTCTCAGGGAGAGACATTAATTTAGCTCTAAACATAATTAGCATAATTTAGTATAGATCCTCTAATTTTTATAATCTGTGATTTTAAAAACAACGGATCAGTACGAGCATGAGCACTCTTGTTTAGAACTCAAATAGCTTTTAGTTTTAATTTCATTTATGTGTGTTTTAATGGCTGAACCCCATATTTCTAAACAGTATGACAAGTAAGGCTGAATTAGTGAGCAGTAGATTAAACGTAAAGCCTTAGAGTTTAACACATCTTTCACTTTATATAATAGTCCCACAGATTTTGCGTTTTTTTCCTTTAATGTAAATTAAATGTTTCCAAGATAAATTAGAGTAAATCACAACACCAATACATTTTGTTTCAGACACTCTTTCAATTTCAGTATTTGAAGTTGTTGATTTAAAGTCCCCATTTTTTAAATTTTTATTTCCAGATGTCATAAGTTTAGTTTTTTATATTCAGTGATAATTTATTCACATCAAACCAAGATTTGAGGATATTTACCTCTTTTTCAGCCTTTTTAAAAAGTTCTTTTACATCTTTACCTGAACAAAGAAAATTTGTATCGTCTGCAAACATACATATATTACATATGTCATTTATATATAGTTTTGGACCTACAACTGACCCTTGTGGAACTCCACAGCTTATTCCTCTAAATTCAGATTTTATATATTTCATTTTTACACGCTGTTGTCCCTCTTTTAAGTAACTCTCTATCAATGACTTTGCTATACCTCAAAGTCCATCCATAATTTTCTTCAAAAGTCTCCTGTGGTCAATGGTATCAAAAGCCTTCTTTAAATCTACAAAAATACCGATAGAGAATTTTTCATTTTCACTGGCTTGAGCCATTTCTTCCATCATCTGCATTATTACATACGTAGGTAGTGGTTCTGATTTCTCTAAAACTATATTGAATATAATTTAATAATTTAATTTTAGTAATATATATATATATATATATATATATATATATATATATATATATCGAGCTGCTTCACAAATAATGTCTAACATTTTTTAAAACTGTGGAATAATTGATACTGGTCTATAATTTTCCATATAATGTTTAGCTCCATTTTTAAATATTGGGATTATTTTGTTAGCTTCATAGATTTATGAAAAAACCCTTTTTGTACTGATAGGTTATATGTCAACAGTCTCCCAATAGAAAAAAATAAGTTATTTGATCATTTCTATATCAATTCCATGTTTATCTGTAGATTTTTTGTTTTTAAGTTTTCTTACAATATTCACAACATAATTTATGTAGCGTCATGAATGGCCTCTAATTTGCGACAAAGGTCACATTTTCCCAGCTGGGTCATTAAGTTTTGAGAACCTTAAGAATTAACTTAGTTAATTTGTCTTAAAGGACTACAAGCCAATGTTGCCATTCATTCCTGTAAAGACTTTAATTAGTGGAGATGATTTCTCCTATATCAGTTAGGGTTTGATTATTTTTATGCTTTTCTGCACCACCCTTTTTACATTACACGTAGGTAGTGCACCCATTTCTTCACTTACAGGTTAATCCATATAATTCTGACACATAGTACAGAGGTACTCATAGTGACAGGTTTATTATTATTTCTTTGATTTGCATCAGACGCAATCTTCATCTGTCTACCTCACATGCGTGTGTCTGCACGTCTCATCTCATGAGCTTCACCATTGGTCTCCTGCCCGAGGTATCTCTACGCCTGATGCTACCTGCCTGGTGACACCTGCCGCATGGAGCTTCACTTCGGTTGTGGGTCGAGACGTCCTGGTCCTGCCCTGCGCTGAGAGGTCGGCTGGAGGCCATCTGGGGATCTGCTGTGGCCGAATGGTCGTCTGTCTACATCCTGCTCTGCTCTGTGTGGGAACACAGGCTACCTTTATCTTTTTGCATATGCCTTTGGAATTACTAATTATTGATGATCAACTACTATTGAAATAGCTACCTTCACGAGGATTACTTTACAATGATTTACGATTGATGACTTAACCAACTTCTCAGGATATGGTCCTGTCTTCAGTGGCGTGAGGGAAAGCTTCCTCACTCCTGCCTTCACCTGGACTGCAACAGCCTTCTTCGAGAAGTCCCTTCGTCTCTGGTGCTCAACGTCAGGTGGTTTCTGCGACCACCTACCATTGACCGGGGGGTCTGTAGCATCATGAATGGCCTCTAATTTGTGACAAAGGTCACATTTTCCCAGCTGGGTCAAGCTGGGTCGAACTGTAACTTTGC